AAAAAGGCAGGACATGGGGAAGGGGATGACACTGGAGCGTGGGTGTTCAGGGGGAATACAGATATTTTTCAGAACAGGGTATCGGCTGGGTGAGGGTTCAGGGGACAGGTCACTATGACTCTGCCTATGATTCACTTGTCCTTATCTAAGTTGGTATTGTCTGCCAAGGCTACCTATTTACAAGGTCTATGACTACTCAGGCTGGTAAATTGTCAAAAAAAAACCTGCCTGTTGACATTAGCTTATAGCCATCTGTTTCAGTGTTTATCCACAGAGACCCAAGACTTGGTGTTAGTATACATGTATGTCAGGCCTATTGCTGAATTTAGGCCTATGGATGATTTTAGGCCTTCAGTGTGTAAGCAGGACTGCCCCTGACATCTCCTCCCTTCTCTAAGTATAGACAGGCTGTGGCGAATCTAATCTTGTGAAGGCAGGAATAGAGGCCTGACCTCCAGTAATTGAAGGGGACCTTGTAATGGCTCCAGTCCCTCTGTCGTTGTCCAGTGAGGCATGAGGGCCATACCCATCCCAATGTCTTTTTCCTGGAGAGCGGATACTTTTGACATCAACCCCTATGCAGTCAGGCTTGTCCCTCAGGGAACCCAGAGAGATATTTTTAACTTTTATTTATATTCCCTTGCAGTGCTTAGCCTCGCAGCCTAAGCAAGAATTCAGGTCGCCTGTCAGAGGGGGTTCTGGGTGGCCCCTCTCTGCCTGGTCTAAGGGTGGAAATACCCTATTTTAGGTTGGGTGGAGATGGGTTTTGGGAACACCCTGGATAAAGTAACAACCTCATTTTGAGTCTCGTGGTCCTCCATAACTAACTTATGATAATGTATCTGAATAGGTTTTGCTACTACATTATTTATCTGTTGTTTCACAGAGTTAGTCAGCCTATTTAAGGCCCAGGGATCAGAAGAAATAAGCAAAAAGAACCCAAATAATGGTCCCAAGATGAGAGGAGGTAGGGTTGACAACCCTGGAGAGGTTGAAAACCAATTCTTGTACCAGCACTCATCTTTCTTTCTCTTTCTCTCTCTGTCTTTTCTCAGAGCCTTCTCTGACCTTTTTCATGTTCTCTTTAACCATCCCTGTCTTGTCTATGTAAAGGCAATATTCTTCTTTAAGGGCTGTACACAGTCAAGAGCTGTACACAGCCTTTTCTATTGTAATAGAGTAAATCAAGTCCAATAAGGATCTTTGCGATTTTAGGAGGTCTCTTCAGACAGTGAAACGAGGGATTTCTTCAGATTAGTGATGTCAATCTCTAGCTGTTTGATGTTCTTGTCAGTGGCCCTTCAAAGGTCTGAGTAGTATAAGTTCGGAGGCCAGCATCTGGATTAGAATTTCTAACAGCAGACATCACGGGTGATTCATTTTTACCTGGAAAGGAAAAAGAAGGGAATTCTCAAGGATTTTTCTCTTCCCTGGATGTAAATTGTTATTCATTTTATTTATGGTTGGGCTTGGCTTTGTAGGGGTATCTATTTATTTCATTAATCTTTTTGGTAGCCAATTAGCTGTGCCTTCTGTGGTATCAAACAGGCATATCAATCCTCAGCCCCATAAGGGAACTGTGCCCCAAAATTTCAATCATACTGAGGTTGGAAGACTTTTCTAGTTTCTCAGTAATGTTGTTTCACAGAATTTTATTTTAAAAAATTGTGTGTGTGTGTGTGTGTGTGTGTGTGTATTTGGATGCATTTGGAGACCAGAAGGGGCTATCAGATCCCCTGGAGCTGGACTTGCAAAAGGCCCTGTAGAAGAGCAAAAAGAGCTCTGACCTGCCGAGCTGTTTTCACAACCCCCCAGAAGTGTTTTTTAAAGTCCCAAGAGTTTGTTACAACTTTCTAAAGTTTAAAAATAAATAAAATTGCAGAAGCAGTTGTCCATGGGTTTAGGCTGGGATAGACTAGAAATATGTCAGTTAAACTTAGTATAGCAAAATAAGGTAGCAAGTTTCCTTCAATATATTCTACACTAGTGTTTTCAGATGCTAGACAATCATCAATCATGACATCTAGTAGGTAGCTAATGAGCGTTCTACAAATAGATCGGATTCTTTTTTTAAAAATGTATGTATGTAATGTATGTATGTATATGTTGTGGGTGTTTTTCTTGCATGTGTATATGTGCACCATGTGTGTACAGTGCCTTCAGAGGCCAGAAGAGGGTGTTGGATCCTCTGAAACTGAAATTATGACAGTTGTGATTACAGATATTGGGAGCTACCATGTAGGTATTGGGAGTGGAACCTGGGTCCTCTGGAACAATTGCCAATGTTCTTAAACACTGAGCAATTCCTCCAGGTACGGGACCATACTCAAGCTAGTTATTAAATTTTGTTATTTTTCGGAACAAATAGTATGTGGCCCTGCAGGTCTGGCAAAGTTGTAGTGAGACGGCCGTCTAGTCATGACCTGAGTTTCAAACATCCTTTCTCGTCATTTCTGAGTGACCAAATTATTTTTAACATTGTTGACTCTTTTGTTTTTTTTAAGTATTATTTATTTATTTTATATAAGAGGGCATCGGATCACATTATGGATGGTTGTGAGCCACCATGTGGTTGCTGGGAATTGAACTCAGGACCTCTAGGAAGAGCGGTCAGTGCTCTTATCCACTGAGCCATCTCTCCAGTCCCATTGTTGACTCTTATCTCATATGGAAAATGAACATTCTGACACATGGCAATAAAAGGTAAAGGGACTATTACAACATAATAATAAGACAAATGGTTAAAATTTGAAACTAGACAAAGGACTTGTATAGGCATTTTTTCAAAGAACTACAGATAGCCAATTACCATAAGGAAAGTGAAAGTCAAATCCACAAGTAGATAACTCTGCAGACCAAGTAGGATAGCTAAAATCAAAGGGACGTGTTAGCTGGGCTTGCTGCCATACACCATTAATCCAGCACTGAGGCTTGTGGTGGACAGAAAGAGGACAGACAGTCTTTGTGAATTCAAGGGCAGCCTGCCTGGTCTACCTTTCAAGTTCCAGGACTGCTAGGGCAGTGTAGACACCCTGTCTCAAAAACCAAACAAAGAGGACAAACAAATGCATAAAAAGATATAGAGAGCTCAAATGGTACCCCGTACACACTGTGTGGAAACTAGCCAGAGTCTTCACAAGATTAATTGCAGGTACCTTATGACACAGTAGCTCTGCTAGAAATGCAAGTGTATCTCCTTCACAGAACTATGTAAATAGTCATGTATTCACCATGGCTCCAAAATGCAGGCAACCAAAATGTTTATTAACTGATGATAGAGAAGTGAAATGTCTTATCTTTATGTTATCAGAGTAAATATTATTTGGCTTTGAAAAATAATGTAGTGCTCATGTTATAATACAATATGAGCCGGGCGGTGGTGGCGCACGCCTGTAATCCCAGCACTTGGGAGGCAGAGGCAGGCGGATCTCTGAGTTCCAGAGTTCGAGGCTAGCCTGGTCTACAGAGTGAGCTCCAGGACAGCCAGGGCTACACAGAGAAACCCTGTCTCGAAAAAAACAAACAAACAAACAAACAAAAAATACAATATGGATGAATTAGGCAAGCTTTATGCTTAGTGAAGGAAGTCAGTCACATAGGATCACATATTATAGATTCCATGTATTTCAAATGTCTAGAATAGACACTTTTGCAGAGACAAAGTAAATAATTAGTTATATAGGACTGTGGCAGGCAAGTTGGGAGGTGACAAATAGTATACACAGCACTAATGCAAACAATCTACAGTTGTGTTGGTAAATATACAACTCTGTAAACATACTAAACATGATTAGTTGCCGAATTGTATAGTACTGAGTTACTTTATTTTAATTTTTAAAATTACTTTTTATAATTATATGTATATAATGTATGTGGGGTGGGTATGTGCATGGGAGCTCAGTTGTCTGGGAAGTCCAAAAGAGGATATCATATTCCCTGCAGATGGAGTTATAGCAGTTGTGAACTACTGATGTGGGTCCTGGGAACCAAACTCCAGTCTCCTGCAAGAACAGTGTGTGCTCTTACCTGCTGCACTGGCTCTCCATCCCTGTGGAGTGTATTTTATTAAAGCTGTGTAATTTTAATTAACAGGTACTTTCACTGTCTTTTAAATTTTGTTTTAATATTTTTTTCAGATTTACCAAATCTATTCAAAGCGATCTGCTGAGGACATTTATAAAATACTGACATCTTATAAAGCTAACTACCTAATTGTAGAAGATGCCATCTGCAATGAGATGGGAACCACAAGAGGCTGTAGGGTTAAAGATTTATTAGATATTGCAAATGGACATGTAAGTAACCATTTGAAAAGTTGATTGGGATTGTTCTGACTTTACTTAGCTTTATAATCTTCCTTCATGAGTTGTAGCCACCTTCGCATGCCATCTTCCCTTGTAGCATGTAGGAGATCAACTGCTATCTAGTAACCAGGACAACTCACAGGGGAGCTTGTAAGCTTCATAGATAGAACTGGTGGGAACAGATGCTTTTATTCCTAAGAAAGTTAGGGTAGAGGACTTGAGTGAAAGACGACTAGATCGTTCTGAGTTGTAGGGTAAACTGTTTAGGCCACAGCCAGGATTTTTGCTTTTCCTTCTAAAATACTCATGTTTGTCTTTATAAGCTGAGGCCAGTTTGGAGGTCAGTGATTTTTTTCACAGTTGCCATGTTTCAGGGTTGAGGGATGGCTTGGCATTTAAGAGCCTTTCTTGCCCTTGAAGAGAATGTAGGTTCAAGTCTCAGGACTCACATAGCCCCTCACAACCTGCTGTAACTCCAGCTTGAGGTGTTATAGTGCCTTCTTCAGGCCTCTGAAGGCAGTTTATGTATGAGGAGTACATACACATGCAGGCAAAACACAAAATAAAAATAAATCCTTGAAAATTTTTCCCATTTTCCTGTCTTTGTGACTAAGTAAGATTGCACTATAAACTCATTTACCTTATGTTGCATGTATTTTTAATGTTCTCAGTTGGTGCTTGATAATGTGATTTTGGTTTATTGATGACAGATGGGATAAAATCAAGAAGTGATACGTAGTAATTACTGATACATTTCTGTCTACTTTCTGCTCTTTCTTTTATGTAATACCAGGCATAAACTTAAGCTACTTTACTATCCAATGTCTGTTATAGGTGTTCCAATAATACTATAAAAACAAACAATCTTGGGGCAGAGATGTGCCTTAGTGGGTAAAGGTTTTTGTTTCCAATCCTGACAACCTGAGTTCCATTCCTGGGACTCCAGAAAGTTGTTTTTAGATCACACACACACACATGCACGCACGCATGCGCGCGCACGTATACACGCACACTAATGTGGTAAAAACTCACAAAGCTTAAAGTCAGCTGAGCTCTGGTAGTTGAAAGCTGGATGGGAGTTAGATGTCAGTGAGGCTGTAAGAGCCTAAGACATGCATCCTTGCCCACTAGACATGTAGGATTATGGGTCCTACACAAGGAGAATGTGATTGTATAGGAGGAAGATAGTACGTTCACTTTTCATCCTTAGAGGCTATCTGGTAGAGTTCTCAGAGCAACAGTAGATTTTATAGAAAAATACTAGCTAAGTTTTAGGATTACATCCTTTACAAACTACAAACATTTTATGCTTATTTCTCAGTGTTCAGGAGTTCAGTGGTTGTGGGAACTTAGGAAAAGGGCTTAAATTTGCTAAACAGCATAAGATATTTTAGTCATAGTTAGCAGTGATAATTTTCATATATATAGTAGTATACTAATACATTTCCTAGTATAAGGATTATATTTCTCATATATTTAGTAAGGTTTTTAATATTGTGTTTTTTATTTTTTGATAGGTGGTTTTCAAAGAAGGTGACAAATTAACCTATTCAAAATATGGACGATTTTGTCATGAGGTCAAAATTAACTACTCTCCATATGTGAATTACTTCACTAGAGTATACTGGAACAGATCCTACTTTGTATATAAAGTCAACACTGTGATATCCTTCCAATCTTGAAAAATAACAGAGCCTTCATTTCAAAGACACGGTACTTGAAGTAAAATGCAATTTTCTCGGAGCTACACAGTTTCTTACAGATAGTGTATGGGCATCTGGAACGCTGCTACTCCTCCCCACGCCAGCTGGTTCCTGGGTTTAGTCTTCTTGGAAGTAGATGATGAGATGCTGATGTCTTTTAGTAAGATGTCAAACCCAGCACTGCGTCTTTCTGACAGCTTCCTTCCTTAGTACATGACTTAAAGCTCTCCTTGTTGCAGCATCTCAAATCCTAATCTATAATATTGATCTTTATTTGAATATTTTCCAAGGTCGGTGTTTACTTCAAAAACATAATTTTTAATTAAGTACTTAATGTGATTTAATTCTATAATACAAGAGAAAATTTTCCAAGGAAGTTTGTAACAGTTGTAAATTTTCTACAATTAAAAATAATTGAAGGCCGGGCAGTGGTGGCGCACGCCTTTAATCCCAGCACTTGGGAGGCAGAGGCAGGCGGATTTCTGAGTTCGAGGCCAGCCTGGTCTACAGAGTGAGTTCCAGGACAGCCAGGGCTATACAGAGAAACCCTGTCTCGAAAAACCAAAAAAAAAAAAAAAATAAAATAAAAATAATTGAAATGTTAGTTAAAAATACATGACATTTAAATTAAAATGGAAATAACATAAAGGAAAGTGATTGTTTTTATAATACTGTTCCTGTCATCTGCTGCTTAAGTGAGTGAACACATTCTTAGTGAAACATAGGACAAAGTCATGCATTTAATTGTTTCATGACTATTACCTGATTGCCTTTTCTCATTTATGCTAAGTTGATAACAATTTAATCATGCTAAACAGTAACTCATGTTAATAGAAACATACGTACATATGCAAATGAACATTGAAAATAATTTTATAGTTGTTTTGGATGTGGAGCATACAATCTAACCACGTTTTCTGTGGACATACTAACACTGGCAAAATAATAATGTGTGCCCTAACATATACATCAATTTCTGGAGGTGTATGCAGATGATTTTAAATATAAGAGCAAACTAAGAGTTAAATTCGCAACACTTCAGAGTATAAATGCTATATTTCTTCATGTATTTTTATTTTTGTATCATTAAAGGAAATTGTAAGCCAATGTGGTGGCTCATGCCTTTAATCCCAGCACTTGGGAGGCAGAGGCAGGTGAATATCTATGAGTTTGAGGCCAGCCTGGTCTATATAGTGAATGCTAGTATGTCCTGGAGACCTATGTAGGTAAGACCCTGTTTTGGGGGTGGGGGGTGAAGGGAAGAAATTCTAAATTAATATGGCCTCTTAAAGAGATTCAGGATAGGTAAAGCCTGTAGAGAAATGGTTTTAGTAAGATGCATATTTAATTTTACATTATACAGTTGTTTCGTGAACAGGTTCTATAATTTTATTTATTAGAATGCTATAAAATTGCATTTTAAGAACTCCAAATTAGGAAGAAGAATATTTCCTTTTTTGTAATGTATATATACGTATTTTTTTTTCAAGTATGTGAGCTTAGAGTGACTTGTAGAGCTTAATTGACAGCTGTCATATCCTCCAATTTAGTGTAATTGGTCCTGTTCACTGTTTCCCATGCTTACTTTGACTATAGACAAGCAGCTATGGCAATGTATCTTACGTGAACTCTGAATATCTCGGTAGTCACTGCTGTTTAACATCAGGCTTTATGAAAAATTACGAGCTATTTAAGTACACACTGAGTAGTCATGTGGTCATTCTTGTGATCAAAGCATGCAGAAACAGCTTACATATTGTAAAGGGAGAAGTACAAACCGTATTTCTCTTGTAATATGATTTTTTTTTTTGCTATTCCCTTGTAAAATGAATTGAATTTTTATTGACATGATAAAATGTGCTAAGTTAGTTTTAGATTTTGCTTTGTTTGCTGTATTAGTAAGCTGCTTTTGCTTCTGTCAACCTATTTCTTAAATAGATATAGAGGATTTTTTAATTAAAAGTTCATAATTAGTTCCAGGCATGATAGTGAACTTTTTTAATCCCAGCATTCAGGAGGAGGCAGAGGCAGGCAGTTCTCTGGGTTTGAGGGCAGTGTGGTTTACATAGTGTGTTCCAGGATAGCCAAAGCTACCAAAAAAAAAAAAAAAGTTTATAATTAGCTTTTCATTCAGCATCAGCTGAAACAAGAAGTAAGCTTTATTATAGAAATGGCAATATTGGCTGAGGATGTGTTGGTCAGTGGCATAGTGCTGGGCTAGCACATACAAGTCCCTTTGTTCAGCTTCTAGCACCATGGTGGTTGTGGGGTGGGGCGAGACAAATGAAGAAAAGAAAGAAATGATAATATTAGGTATCAGAGATAAGTTGTTTCTCTTCCATCATCTGAACTGTCACTGAGACAACAACATTAGAAACTTGGTGTTGAAAATATTTAATTTTTTTCTTTAGTGATTTGTGGAATAATAAGTGAAAAATTCTACTACTTGCTATTATAATTACTTATTATAATTGGGTAACCGAGCAGCTGTTAGGTTCAACAATCAAGCTGCATTGAAGGAGCAGAGCTTATAGGATTTGGGTGGGAAGGAATTCTTCAAAGAAATACTGAGCATATTTGCTCTTAATATAACAAACCCATTGAAATAAGTGCCTTAACTTCTTTATTTCTAAATTCATCTTATATTTTATATCATATTATCTATTTTTTTCCATAAGAAAATACTGTTAACTTTTGCCACATTGATAAAGTACAGTAAGGTGAGGACGTAGGTCCATTTCCTCCCTCTCTTGTGTGCAAGTGTCCTAGAGCATTTTCCTAGTACAAGAGCTTCTAGGTTTGATCTCCAGCACAACAAAAAATAAGCTATCTCCACACCATTTTCATTATTAACTTCAACTCAGTAATAAGCAAATCTTTGTCAAGAACTTCCAGTCTTCTAAATTAATTTATTTAGCCCCTGGAATGCCAAATAGTCCAACAAGTGAAACCTATTTGATAAGGTATGTAATATGGACTCTGTGAGTTTAGTAACTTTTTAAAAAAAATTTCTTTGGCATCTGTATCTTGATGTTTTGCATTTTATTGGCAGTTTAGTTTTACAGTCTAAGTAGTATGTTCTGTACTCCAGCACTGACTTTACACACACACACACACACACACACACACACACACACAGACACTGGCTTTTCTTTCTAGGACATTAACCCAAGCTGCCAATAACCTCAGTGTTCTGATACTTTTCTGTACTGTACAGATTGAGTCTACAAAGAATGAAGAAAAGGTGTTAAATTGTGTTAACAATTTGTGGCTGAAAACCATGCCTAAAATAGATTATTAATTTCTTGTATAACTCTCTTATTAGTTTTGAGAATTCTTTCTTGGGGCTTCTTATTTTTGAGTTAGTAACACATTGTGATGTCTCTTTTTGTATAAAAATTGTATTTTTTTCAGTTGGGGTTTTTAACAGTTCTATGTAAATTGATCTTTTAGTAAATTTATTTTTAATGCATGAATATTTATAGGACATGTGCTACTACTTCTGTATATATAAGAACTTTTTAAAGCTAATAACTACTTTCTAATTTATATTTTAGTGTGTCTTTTCTTTTAACGTATCTAGTTCTGCCATGTGTGGTGATGCACACCTATGATCCCAGCACGTTAGAGGTCGAGACAGGAGGATCAAGTGTTCAAAGTCATCCACAGCTACATAAATGAGTTTGAGGCCAGCCTGGGCTTCATGAGTCCCTATCTCCAAAAAAAAATCTAAAAATTAAATACATAGTCTCTGTTGTTGCTGTTTGCAAATAGCTTTAGGCTCAGTATGTATTAGAAATCTGCCAAATTACAAGGAAAATCAAACAAGTTCTTACTTGAATTACTAAGGTTTTTTTTTTTAATGTGTAGAGTTAATGCTTTAAATCAAATTAGATGCAGTGTTGCAAAAAATATATGACAGCTTATTTTCTCTCTAGTGAAATTTCTTTTTTTTCTTTTCTTTTTTTTTTTCTTTTTCTTTTTTTTTTTTGGTTTTTCGAGACAGGGTTTCTCTGTGTAGCCCTGGCTGTCCTGGAACTCACTCGGTAGACCAGGCTGGCCTCGAACTCAGAAATCCACCTGCCTCTGCCTCCCAAGTGCTGGGATTAAAGGCTTGCGCCACCACCGCCCGGCAGTGAAATTTCTAAATAATGTATGTGTTTCTGTAATGAAAATTACATTTTGCAATCAAGTGTGTTAGATTTAGTACAAAGAATTCTTTGTATTGTTCTGTAATCTTGACATATGAAATACTCTGTGCAATTCTATGACCTTTACTTATGATCATTATCTATATTTTGTATAATAGTGGCATAACAGAAAACATCACATAAATTACCTTTTTCTGTTTTAAGCCAATAGCCTTGTACAGCTACTTATCAACAATGAACACAGCTGCCTTTATGTAGGTTGGCCTCTGAGTCATGACTGTGATGATATGTGTTTAGATTAAGTGTTACCCCCTGTAACTAAGCCTACATCTCTGCAAAAGTGAAAATCATTAGTGTGTACAGATACATTAAAGGACTTTTTTCTAAGTATAGACAGTTTTATTCCAGGTTTTGTAACATTAGTATTCTTTTATCAATAATGGTGTTCTTTCATGCTCATTTACCCTCCTTGTTTTATGTTCATAATAAAACTTGTCAGAATTTTAATCTGTCTTTAACTTGTACTTGACCTTTCTTATTATATTTATTGAGCTATGACTAATGGTTCAACTCACTCTTGAGCATACAGTTGAGTGAGTTTTCGATAGTATTCCCAGTTGGGCAGTTTTCACCACAGCCAGCTTAAAACATGGTCATTGCCCACCACACACGAACCCCATTCCTTTTGGCTGTCACTGACACCACCCCATCTTCAGCCTTAGGCAACTCTCACTAATCTGTATACATATTTTCTCATTCTGGATGTTGCATATAATGAAATCACACAACTGATGGTATTTGATGTCTGGCTGCTTTCACTTGACTTAACATTGTCAAAGTTCATCCACAGTGTAGCATGTATTGTTTCTTTTTAGTGTGAAATGTTAACATCTGTATCTCCAACAGGTTCTGTCTCTCAGGGCAGTGGTTCTCAACCTTCATAATGCTGCTAACCCTTGAGTACAATTCCTCATGTTGTGATGACCCACAACCATAAAATTATTATTGTTGCTACTTTATAACTAATTTTACTAGTTATGAATCATAACTAGTGTTTTCTGATGATCTTAGGCAACCCCTATAAAAGAATTGTTTGATCATCAAAGGAATCTCAACCTCCCAGATTGAGAAACCCTGCTCTAGAGAAACCTAATAATTTCAGGCTCACACTTAACAATAAATAAATCTTTAGGCTGTTAACCTTCTCTTGGAAAAGCTAAGTCTGATTTCTTTTTTTTAATGATCCCTTTTATTTTTTATGTACATTGTTGTTTTGCCTTCATGTATGTCTATGTGAAGGTGTTGGCTCCCCTGAAGGTCCTATGGAAGA